GTGACTCCGTGCTTAACGATGGGCCAGACCTCACAGACCCTCGTGCAGGCCTGTACCACCCAGGTGGGCCATGGCCTTCCTTTCTCCTACAGACCAAGGGCCGATTCAGGGATCTCCTGGTGAAAACCTGCCCTTTCTTCTCCTGCAGAACAAGACTGATCCAGGGATCTCCTGGTGAAAACCTGCCTTTTCTTCTACTGCAGTACAGGCCCGATCCAGGGATCTCCTGGTGAACACCTGTTGTTTCTTTCCTATTGTTTATTTCAATATGGCGGATAACACCGTTTCACAGGCTTCCACCTCCAGTGGAAATGTAAAACGCAAGCCATCCAGTCAGGATACACCTGCAAAAGCCAAGGCCAAGGTCAAACGGACCTCTAAGGCCGATGACAAGCAAGCAGATAGCAGACATAGGCTCCTGGAGCAACAATTATCCAAAGCCCTCTTTGAACAAGAATTAAGATTACAGGTCCAAGATTCAATTCCAGCTGCTAAGCCAAGACCTTCCTCAGTGTCTTGTGGGTCTCAGGGGGAGGTTACTACAGTTGTCCCTCCCCCAATCCCATCAGCATCTTTCGCGCCAACGGCAGCGGGTCTTCAGGGCCCCGAACATCCTTCATTTACTGCCCAGCTCCAAGCCATGATCTCACAGGCGGTGACTCAGGCAATGGCGGCTTCAGGGAGGGCCATTCCGGTCCAAGGACCATCAAACCTCCCTATGCCCACGGAAACTATGCATCCCAGGGAGCCTATGTCACCGTAAAAATTGACTGGTGAAACCACAGACAATGGATCAGGATGGACAGAGTTCTGACCCACTGTTTTTCGGTCAAGAAGAACCTACACCTCAATCTGAAGGGAGCAAGATATCAGATTATTCCGCACAGATACCGGAAGGAGGCATGTGGTCAGATGGGGAAGACATTCAGGTGGAGGCCACTCCTATGGTAGGGGTGTTTAATCCAAATTCCTTCTATTCTCTTTTACAAAAGGCCTATGTCACCGTAAAAATTGAACTGGTGAAACCACAGACAATGGATCAGGACTCTGGACAGAGTTCTGACCCACTGTTTTTGGAACCGGTCAAGAAGAACCTACAGATACCTTGCCCCCCCATTTTTCTCAAATCCATTCAGGATCAGTGGGGATCTCCTGGAAGTTTCTCTGCTCTTGGGGGATTAGATCTTAAGCTCTTAGATACGGTCCCTTCCCTCAACTATGTCCTCAAAGTTCCGGGTGTAGATGAGGTTCTTGTCCCCATACTGTCAGACACCAAAATCCCAGGAGATATGTCGGAGGCCCTTAAGGCTGAGGACAAGAAATCTGAGATTTCCCTCAAAAGGACCCATCAGGCATTGGCTTGGGCTATAAGAGCCTCAACATCTAACTCCTTCTTCGCCAGAATCGCATTAATCTGGCTCAGGGAATTACAGGCCAGAATATCCCCAGACGAAGTAAGGGTTCACCAGAATGTCACTAAACTAAAGGCCGCACTGGAATACATGGCGGATGTGTCTCTGCAGTTGGCCAAATATTCAGCTCGGGCCATAGCTTCCAACGTGGCCGCACACTGGTTGTTCTGGCTAAAAAATTGGAAGGCCGATATCAGGCACAAATGGAGAGTAGCTGCAGCATCATATCAAAAGGGTCGCCTTTTTGGAGAGGCTCTCACTCCTTACCTGACTGAAAACAAAGAAAAGTTGAAGGTACTAGCTCATATTGTCAAAAAAACGAATGCCCAGCTTCCCCGGTTTCTATCTCCGTACCCATCCCAGGGTTCGGAGGGAGCAGATGCCTTCCGCAGCCCTTGGCCGGCAGGCCTTCTATATGCATTTCCACCCCTTCCCTTGATCCCGGCTGTCATCAGGAAGCTGTTACAGGAACGGGCGGAGCTAATTCTTGTGGCCCCATATTGGCCGAGGCGTCCATGGTTCGCGGATCTCGTGAACCTTGCCATGCCCCCCCTTGGCAAATCCCTCCAGAAAGGATAATTCTAACACGGGGTCATACACCACCCGGACCCGCAGTGGCTACAACTAGCCGCCTGGCATCTGAGCGCCAGTTCCTGATGTGTGGATCTTACTCTTCAAGGGTGATAGCTATGATCCAAGCTTCCAGAAGGAAGCTTGGATCTATGATGCTACTTGGAAGAACTTCTGTGACTGGTGTACCTATAAGGGTTTGTCTATCTCTTCTGTCACTATTCCAGTGATCTTGAATGCCTCATGGATGGAGTGGATAAGGGCTTAGCGCCCAACACCTTGCGTAGACAGGTGGCCGCTCTTTCCACGGTGTTCACCTGTGCCAACACTACTCCATTGTCCCATCATCCCAGGGTCCGGTCCTTTATGAAAGGAGTCTCCAACACCAGACCTCCGGTAGTACACAGGTATCCATCTTGGGAACTACCTCGTGTTCTGCAGGCACTCACTAGGTCTCCCTTTGAATCTATAAGGTCTTGTCCTCTTCACATTTTGTCCCACAAGGTGGCCTTCCTAGTAGCCATCACGTTGGCGAGACGCGTGTCAGAGCTGGCTGCTCTTTCAGTTAGGGAAGACCTGTGTACCTTCTATCAGGACAGAGTGGTGATGAGGTTAGATCCCTCATTCATTCCCAAGGTGAATACGATGTTTCACTGGGCTCAGGACATTGTATTACCAAACTTTTGTCCCAATCCTTCTCACACACTAGAAAAGCAGTGGCATTACCTAGATGTACGTAGGGCATTGCATCATTACATTAAGAGGACAGCTTCCTTTTGCAAATCGGAGGCATTGTTTGTCTCTTTCCACTCAACTTCCAAGGGACAGAAGGTTTCCTCCTCTACTATAGCCAGGTGGATCAAGGCCTGTATCTCTCAATCTTACCAGGCTTACTCTTTACCTGTCCCAAGCTGCCTGACAGCGCACTCTATTCGTAGCACTTCCACGTCAGCGGCATGGCAGACTCAGGCATCCATAGAGGACATCTGTAAGGCGGCTACGTGGTCGTCCCCTTCACCATTCATTCGCCACTACAAACTCGACAAGTTTGCTTCCGCAGAGGCCGCTTTTGGCCGTCAGGTTTTACAACAAGTGGTCCACTTCAGCAACAACACTTAACCAACCTGCTTCCCACCCGTGGGATCATAGGGGCTTTGGTATGTCCCATCTGTGGATTCTACATTCCTTTACATGCTGGAGAAGGGGCGTTGTCTTACCTGAACGCCTTTTCTCAGCATGAGGAATATAGAATCCACCTCCTCCCTGATCATTACTAGCAGTTAGGTTAGTGTCAGCAGTTTGGAGCCATCACGTCACACAATCATTCGCTTCGCCCTTTCGAAACTGGGGCATGGTCAGACCCTGCAGAGGCATGGCAACTTTGTTTGTTTGGTCTGATTGAGCTAGAAGACTAAATCAACCCATCTGTGGATTCTACATTCCTCATGCTGAGAAAAGGTAAGACAACGCCCCTTTTCTTTATACCATAATGGGTCATCTCTCACTCGTCTCAATATTTCGTCTCTTATTGATTTTTTTCACAAATCTAACATCTTAAAATCCCATGTTGTAACTTTTGAAAGCAGTGGAAATTCACAAGAAACTATGCTGTCTTCTTATCGCCCAAGGATTACAAGAATAACTAAGCTGGCAAATGTGTCATTTTTCTTTCAATTATTTTCCTTTAGAAAAAGCTGCCTGAAGATTAGGTAGTCCAGCAGAAAATGAAACCTAGGCAATCCATTGGCACAATGGGGTTTCTCTCAATAATGTTTCAAATTCTTAATGTACTTGTCTAAGCTTTGTAGATACTCCACCTCTTTGCTTACTTACTAGATTCTACCAGTAGTTTTAGCAAAGCAAGGAGATATTTAAGGCATATTCTGGCTATCATAATTTTAAAAATTACTTTTGGCTTAATTGAAATGAGAACATGTAGCCATGTAACATTCCCATTACTGTTGTTTCACTAACTACCAATGTGTTTCCAAGTACAATATAACTGCTGGTTATAATAATTCGTGTTGCTCAAGACCTGGGTATCTGGATAGACTGTGTCTAGCCAATTCAAATGAGTAGAAAATGCCTACTGAAAGATGTCTGCTGTCAGAGATGGCACTGAAGGGATCATAGACAAAGTTCTGTGAAGTCCCTCTCTTTTGCTAGAACCTGTCCCCAGAAGCAAAAGTATCTTTTATTCTTATGATTTTGCAAATTCATTAACACTTGGTTTTATAACTTCTTTGGAGCGATTTCAGCACTGAATTGTGTTAGCTAAAATTGTTACATTTTATGTAATATTTTAAAGATATTTTTGTGTTGGTTTATTGAAGATTTGTATTGGTGATCTAATTGTTCATTGCTCACAATATGCAGATTGAAATAGTATATAAACATATAACAAAAGACACAATACCAAGTCTCTCTGGAAGAAACATAGAAGGGTCCCCAACAGGCAGTCTGCATTTACATCCTGTTGCAGCACACAACAAAGAAAATCATATGCAAATGACTTCTTTTTATATTTCAAGGTCCAAGTAACATAATATGCCACGGTGGCACAGTAGTTAGAATGTAGTATTGCAGACTAACTTTGCCCATTGTCAGGAGTTCGATTCTGACCGATCAAGATTGACTAAGTCTTCCATCCTTCCAAGGATCGGTAAAATGAGGACTCATTGTTGGGGGCAATATGCTGACTCTGTAAACCACTTAGAGAGTGATGTAAAGTGCTATGAAGCATATATAAGTGTAAGTGGTTTTTAATAGTTGTGTGCATCCCTGTTAGAAAACATTGCTTCAAAAAAATAGTGTGAATGCAATTGGCATTTTTAAAGAAAGAAAGGGCTCCATCAGACGATGTTTTAAATATAACCATTTATACATATGATTGAATTGTTATTTAGTTACTTGATTTTATTTGTACAACTGCCCATCTCATTTTCAAGACTCTGAACAACTGATATAATCAAAACGATCACACCAACATAATTGAAAATAAATAATTGTATTGTTCAGATTACATGCAGCAGATGGGAGGTCAAGCACATCTTTTTTTCTGGATAACAGTAGAAGGATATAGGGTTACAGCTCAGAAACAGCTAGAAGTATTGCTGAACCATCAGAAGGATGGAATGCATCAAACAACACAAACCAAAGGTCTGTTAAGAACAGCTGCAGTTGGAATATATGAACAGTATTTATCAGAAAAGGTAAGAATTGATTTTTTAAAAAACAAAAATGTTTTATAAAACATCTATTTATAAAAAGATTTGTAGAAGTGAATAATTTGAAAAATTTCAGAAAATTAAACAAAATCAATCTAAAAAGTAAAAAAAAATCATACAATGTAATTGAGATAGGATATACAGTAGTATGTTGTTACTCATTGTTAATTGGTTCCAGGAGGCATAATGAATACCAAAAACAAGGAGTACCAAACAAATTTTCCCCATAAGGAATAAAGTAGTGAGTCACAAGGCAGCTGACACTGACGTGTTCTAGCTGTGCGTTGAGTACCAAATAAATGATAAGTACCAGGACAAAATTTTCATGTCAAAATGCTTTGAGTATCAAATTCAATGAGTTTTAAAGCAGTTGAGTACCTGGGTACCGCTCTAAAAATAATCAAAAGATAGCGAAGGCTGCTGTACTAGCTACTAAAAATTATAATAATAAAAAGAATCATAGTTGTAAGAATATATTACAGGTAGTCCACAAGTTAAAATTGTTTGTTTAGTAACCAAAGTTACAATGGCACTGAAAAAAGTGACCATTTTTTACTTCCGACTCTTGAGCAACCCCATGCTCACATGATCAGAATTTGGATGCTTGGCAATTGGCTCTTATTTATAATGATTGCAATGTCCCAGAGTCAGGTGATCACTTTTTGTGATCTTCTCACATACTATGGGGAAACCATATTAACATAACAATCATGTTACTAACTTAACTTGCTTCACTTAACAATTATGGCAAGAAAGGTTGTAAAATGGGACCAAATTCACTTAACAAATGTCTTAGTAATAGAGATTTTGGGTTCAATGGTGGTCATAAGTTGAGGGATAAATTTGTAAATAAACTAATCTTGAATAGAGATAAAATTGAACATATAAAATTACCCCATATAATATATAGAGAAGTCTATGTATATCAGAATCTATAGTAATTAGAAAGTGTCATCCCTATATAATTATTTCAATTTATATGTCACTTGTAAATATTCTTTCCAATACCTCAAAATGAAATAATATAACTTTTATGAATAACTTGAACTACTTGAGTTCTTTGCTTTTATTAAAATAACTGATACGGTTTTTATAGCTTTATTTTATCTTTAATAATAATGGCTGATTTTTATTTTTTACAAACAAATGAATTAAAATAAAAACTAAAATAATTTAATTCTCTGTGGTAGGCTTCTCCAAGAATTAATATTGATGATACACTGGTAGCAAAGCTGGAAGAAAAATTAAATAATGAGGACCCAACTCCTGAAATTTTTGATCAGATTCAAAGAAAGGTATACAGTATTGTGATCTACTAATCTGACTGTCTATGTGTCAATATTTATGACTAATTTTGTTGGTTTTTAGACTGAAATGTAGCGTAATAATGCAAATACCTATTACATTATTTACATCTAGATGCACCTTTATATAATAAAGTGCTTTATGATTTAGATTACCTATTTTGCATAATATTAAGCTTTAATTTCATTAAGGTATATGAATTGATGCTGCAGGATGAAAGATTCTATCCTTCATTCAAACAGCATGCACTTTACGTACGAATGCTTGCTGAGCTAGATATGCTAAAGGATCCTAGTTTCAGAGGATCAGATGATGGTGAAGGAGGTAAGTTGATTTTTATCAGGTAGGAGTTATAACTGTAAGTATAAACAGATAGGAAGTAATTTTTCCTCATCAGATAGGATTTAACCTTTCTTTCTTTCTTTCTTTCTTTCTTTCTTTCTTTCTTTCTTTCTTTCTTTCTTTCTTTCTTTTTTTTTTTTTGCAAAGAGGCTTATGTTGTTGTTGTTAGTTGCGAAGTCGTGTCTGACCCATCGTGACCCCATGGACAACGTTGCCCCAGGCCTTTCTGTCCTCTACCATCTTCTGGAGTCCATTTAAGCTCACGCCTACTGCTTCAGTGACTCTGCCCAGCCACCTCATTCTCTGTCGTCTCCTTTTTCTATTGCCCTCAATCTTTCTCAGCATTAGGCTCTTCTCCAGCGAGTCCTTCCTTCTCATTAGGTGGCCAAAGTACTTGAGTTTCAACTTCAGGATCTAGCTTTCTAATGAGCAGTCAGGGTTGATCTTCTCTAGGACTGAACGGTTTGATCGCCTTTCAGTCCAGGGAACTCGCAGGAGTCTTCTCCAGCACTGTAGTTCAAAGGCCTCAATTCTTTGGCGCTCAGCCTTCCTTATGATCCAACTTTCACAGTCATACATTACAACTGGGAAAACCATGGCAGGGTGATGTCTCTGCTTTTAAATATGCTATCTAGATTTGCCATAGCTTTCCTCCCCAGGAGCAAGCATCTTTTAATTTCTTGGCTGCAGTCTGCATCTGTGGTGATCTTGGAGCCCAGGAAGATAAAATCTGTCACTAACTCCATTTCTTCCCCATCTATTGCCAGAAATTGAGAGGGCTGGAGGCCATGATCTTGGTTTTCAAGCCAACTTTTGCACTCTCTTTCTTCACCCACAACAAGAGGCTCTTTAGTTCCTCTTCACTTTCTGCCATTAAAGTGGTATCATCTGCATATCTTAGGTTGTTGATATTTCTCCCGGCAATCTTAATTCCAATTTTTGATTCATCTAGCCCTGCCTTTCTTATGTGCTCTGCATATAAGTTAAATAGGCAGGGCAATAGAATACAGCCTTGCTGGACTCCTTTCCCAGTTTTGAACCAATCATGTCCAGTTCTCACTGTTGCTTCTTGACCTGCATATAGGTTTTTCAAGAGACAAATAAGATGGTCTGGTACTCCCAACTCTTTAAGAACTTCCCACAATTTGTTATGATCCACACAATCAAAGGTTTTAGCATAGTCAGTGAAGCAGAAGTAGATGTTTTTCTGGAACTCCCTAGCTTTCTCCATGATCCAGCGTATGTTGGCAATTTGATCTCTAGTTCCTCTGCCTCTTCGAAATCCTGCCTGTACTTCTGGAAGTTCTCAATCCACATACTGCTGGAGTCTAGCTTGTAGGATTTTAAGCATAACTTTACTTGCATGTAAAATGAGTGCAATGGTGCGATAGTTTGAACATTCTTTGGCATTGTCTTTCTTTGGAATTGGAATGTAAACTAACCTTTTCCAATTTTGTGGCCACTGTTTAGTTTTCCAAATTTGCTGGCAAATTGAGTGTAGCACTTTTACTGCATCGTCTTTTAAGATTTTTGAATAGCTCAGCTGGAATACTGTCACCTCTACTAGCTTTGTTGTTGCTCAGCTTTCCTAAGGCCCATTTCACTTCACATTCTAGGATGTCTGGCTCGAAGTCAGTGACCACTCCATCGTGGTTATCAAGGATGCTAAGCTCGTTCTTGTATAGTTCTTCTGTGTAATTTTGCCACCTCTTCTTAATCTCTTCTGCCTCTGTTAGGTCCCTGCCATTTTGGTCCTTTATCATGCCCATCTTTGCATGAAACGTTCCCTTCATATCTCCAGTTTTCTTGGAGAGATCTCTGGTTCTCCCTATTCTATTGTTTTCTTCTATTTCTTTGCACTGTTCATTTAAGAGGGCATTCTTATCTCTTCTAGCTATTCTCTGGAATTCTGCATTCAGTTGGGTGTATCTTTCTCTTTCTCCTTTGCCTTTTGCTTCCCTTCTTTCCTTAGCTATTTGCAAAGCTTCCTCAGATAGCCATTTTGCTTTCTTGCATTTCTTTTTCTTTGGGATGGTTTTAGTTGCTACCTCCTGTACAATGTTGTGAATCTCCATCCATAGTTCTTCAAGCATTCTGTCTATCAGATCTAATTCCTTAAATCTATTTGTCATCTCTAATTCCTTAAATCTATTTGTCATTTCTATTTGTCATCTCTATTCATCAGGAATATGATTTAGTTCATATCTGAGTGGCCTAGTGCTTTTCCCTACTTTCTTCAATTTAAGCCTAAATTTTGCAACGAGAAGCTCATGATCTGAGCCACAGTCAGCTCCTGGTCTTGTTTTTACTGACTGTATAGAACTTCTCCATCTTTGGCTGCAGAGCACATGGTCAATCTGATTTCTGTGTCTAGTGATGTCCATGGGTAGGGCCGTCTCTTGGGTTGTTGGAAAAGAGTGTTTGCTATGACCGTCGTATTTTCTTGACAAAATTCTATCAGCCTGTGCCCTGCTTCATTTTGTACTCCAAGACCAAACTTGCCTGTTATTCCAGTTATTTTTTGGCTTCCTACTTTAGCATTCCAATCCCCCATGATGATAAGAACATCATTTTTTGGTGTTGATTCTATAAGGTGCTGTAGGAAATCATAGAACCGGTCAAATTCATCCTCTTCAGCACCAATGGTTGGGGCATAGACCTGGACTACTGTGATATTGAATGGTTTGCCTTGGATTCGCACTGAGATCATTCTGTCATTTTGGGGATTGTATCTCAGTATTGCTTTTCCTACTTTTTTATTGACTATGAAGGCTACTCCATTTCTTCTGAGGGATTCTTGCCCAAAGTAGTATACCTGATGGTCCTCTGAATTAAATTCACCCATTCCTGTCCATTTTAGTTCGCTGATTCTTAAGATGTAGATGTTCAGTCTTGTCTTCTCTTGTTTGACTATGTCCAGTTTGCCTTGATTCATGGATCTTACATTCCAGGTTCCTATGGAGAAAAGATCTTTACAGCATCGGACTTTCCTTTCATAATCAGATGCATCCACAGTTGAGCGCCCTTTCGGCTTTGGCCCAGTCGCTTCACTTTTTCTGGCGCTACTAGTACTAGCCCTCTGCTCTTCCCCAGTAGCATATTGGGCACCTTCTGACCTGAGGGGCTCATCTTCCAGCGTCATATCTTTTTGCCTTTTGGTACTGTCCATGGGGTTTTCATGGCAAAGATACTGGAGTGGTTTGCCATTTCCTTCTCCGGTGGATCACATTTTGTCAGAATTCTCTGCTATGACCTGTCCATCTTGGGTGACTTTGCACGGCTTCATTGATTTACGCAAGCCCCTTTGCCACGACAAGGCAGTAATCCATGAAGGAGGGGCTTATGTAGAAGACACTAAAAATAATTTGGGGAAATTTTGCATATCTCAACATATAAGAATTGTGACTATTCCATTTGGTTGCTCTTTTATAGCTATTGCAAATTTCCACAGTAACAGGTAGTGTGCATGCTTTGATTCTGAAAAAGTGCTTCATACCCACAGAAGTGTGAAATTCGTTAAAGGAATATGACTATTTTCATACTCTACAAGAACTGAAAAAACATTTTTCTTTAAGAATAACTTTCTGGAGTAAAATTAAATATGACTTCCTTTTAAGCTTATGCAGAGACTCTTAGTGTATAACACTCTTATCTCTTTAGTCCTTACATTAAATATATTTTTACTACTGGTATTATAAACAAAACATCTGCTTAGCTACCTCCTAGTGGCCTATGGTGACAATAGCACAATTTTTCATTTAAGTTTTAGCAATCAGCAGAACTAAGTATTCCCTGCTAGTATTTAATTTGTTCCAAGCTATTTAAAATAATAGATGGATGTAATTTTCACTATTCCTTTTTAAATTATTGTAATATTATTTTGACTACTGAATTGTAATACCTTGGCTTTTTCTTTATAATGATCTTGTTGTAATAATGTTTAGTTCTTAGTTTATTAAATAGTAAGATTATCCATTATACATAAATTTGTTTACAGCTGTTTATATTTTTAAACACAGCAGGGAGAAATCATAATATGTTCATTTCTAAAAACAGGAGAAAAATATGATTAAAATATCATGATTGAAATGGTGTAATACTTTGTATCTAGGCAATGTCCTAAAATTCACTTCTCAGTTCACTTTCCATTTCTTATCACTCTCATTACTTAATGTGCAGTAAAATATATGGATTTAGGGTGAAAAAACATGGTGATTAACTAGTTAATATTTACAGTATTAACCAGTTATTCACTTATCTTTTTTCATCCTGAATCCATATAGGTTTATGTATGTACATAAATATAAATTCATGCTTATGTTCCTTCAATATATTTCCATTGTATGGCTTTATAAAAAAATGTTCTCTTTACACAGAATCATTTAATGGATCTCCTACAGGCAGCATTAATTTGGTAAGTGTGTTTTTCAATATGGTAAAAGTTCAAAATATTACTTGTTTATTTAAGACAAAAGCAACAAAAACAAAAATGACACTAGATATGTTTGTTTTTGAGACTATTTTATTTTAAAAGTAGTTAAATAGTTAAGAAGCTAGTTGCAAGAAAAAATGTTAAGGGCAATAGAATAAAACATACATTTCAATATTTAAAAGTCTAGTGTAAAATACAGAATAAATAAGATAAAACAGTATCAGAAAATTAAAAAGCATCAGTTAAAAAAAGGTAAAACTCTCAGAAATCCTACGAGAATAAAAATGTCTTTGTTTGGCATCAGAAAATAATAATGATAGTATTGGGTATACCTAATTTGGAGGAAATTCCAAAGTTAAAATTCTGCATTGAAAAAAAAAACTTGCCATTCGTGCAATAATATTTCTGGAATATAAATTATAACCGTGGCTTTCTCTTCACCTAGTCACTGGATGATCTTTCAAATGTGTCTGCTGATGAGTCGATACAATTACCTGCATGCATTTCAGATACTGGTGAGTTTAGTATTGGTATTTGTGTTTTCATGAGAAGGTAAAATAACTGTAACTGATTAACCTTGTAATTAATTATTTGTTTAATATAGTTTTTATCCATTATCATTAAAACATTTGTCTTCTTGCTGTTATTATGCAGAAACTCCAAGAAGAAAGACTTACATTAGCTAATAAACTTATTGTATATTTAAGATTAATTTTCCATTTGCATCCAGTAAATGTTTCTGTTTTATTATCCTTTTCAATGTATCATTAGAGTTCAACTTTCATATCAATGGTTGTTTCATTCTCTAAACATGTATTTTTTTTTCATTTGTGACATTATTTCTTTCATTCAGTCAATCATTCTATAAAACCAAATAAAGAATTAACATCAATTATATTGGAATATGCTAAAGATATGAGCACAATATGCATTGCTGTCCCAAATTATGAATTCTTTTGACATCTGGTATATATCACCTAACTCAGTGCTATATCACCATTCAATACAGTATAAGTGATCTTTGAAGTATGACAGATCATTCAAAGTTTAAATATATTTACCAAAAACTATATACAGCTCTGATTCAAAATTATAAATTATACAGAAGTCACCCAATCATTTGCCCTTATGAATGACTGTAGAATTCTTGTATAGAATTTTTAACTTTGCAGAAATGCTGCAAATGCTGTAGAATTCTTAACTTTGCAGAAGTGCTGCAGCATGCCCACATATCTATTCCTCTTCCCATCCTGCGCTGCCAGGTCCCCAAAAGTCCTGCACCATTGTAAACAGGAGATAGGTGGTGCTCAGTCTTAATATAGATGGCCTCTTTGAACCCTCTTTCAAACCAGCAGTTTTTTCTGCCCACATTCTGGTTTGAAAGAGGTATCAAAGAGCCATCTACATTAAGATTGAGCAGCCTTCTCTCAACGGGTGGAGTACACCGCCATCTATCCCATTTATAACACAGTCCTTTCAGCAATTTCAAGAAAGTTCCACGCTCATTTGCACTATTGAGTTGACCCTTAAGACAAAGATAAACCTTCACGTGGCCTCAATGACTCCCAGAAAGAGTAATAATAATAATGATATAATAATAATAGTAATAGTAATAATAGTAATAATTGGAAGATCTGCAAGAAATATCATTTGCCTGTAAGCAAGATCATAAAATAGGGTTCATAAAATAGAGAAAGTCATAGAAAATGATAAAATTAAACTGCTCTGGGACATCAGAATTCAAACAGACAAGCACCTGCAACATAACACCTTAACTTAACAATTGTCGATAAGAAAGACAAAAAAGTCTGGAAAGTGGACATGGTAGTGCCTGGAGATAGCAGAATAGAAGAGAAAGAACTGGAGAAGATAACAAAATACAAAGACCTACAAATAGAAAGGCAAGCAAGGGTAGTACCATTAGTACCATTTGGGTGCAATCCCAAAACAACTAGAGCACCAGTTGAACATCATTGGCACTGACAAATTCGCCATTAGTCAATTGGAAAAGGCGGCCTTACTAAAAACTGCTTCCATCCTGCGACAGTATCTATAATATCAAACATCCACATCTGCCTATCCCAGGTCCTTGGGAAGGACTCGATAGGTAGACAAAAATGCCAAATCCAGTCTGAACATCTGTCTGACTGTGCGATGATCAATAATAATAATAATTGCCGATAAGAAAGACAAAAAGGTCTGGATAGTGGACATGGCAGTGCCTGGAAACAGCAGAATAGATGAGAAAGAACTGGAGAAGATAACAAAATACAAAGACCTACAAATAGAAATAGAACAAAATAGAGCAAAGGCAAATAAGGATAGTACCAATAATAATAGGTGCCTTAAGTGCAATCCCAAAACAACCAAAGCGCCACTTGAACACCATTAGCATTGACAAATTCGCCATTAGTCAGTTGGAAAAGGCGGACTTACTAAGAAGTACGACGATATCTGTAATACCATCAATTCAAACATCCACATCTGCTTATCCCAGGTCATTGTAAGGACTCGATAGGTAGACAAAAATGTCAAATCCAGTCTCAACATCTGGCTGATTGTGTAATAGTAGTAGTAGTAGTAGTAGTAGTAGTAGTAGTAGTAGTAGTAATAACAACAACAACAGTTGGAAGGGACCTTGGAGGTCATTTAGTCCAACTCCCTGCTCAGGCAGGAAACCGTATACCATTTCAGACAAATGGCTATCCAGTCTCTTCTTAAAAATTTCCAGTGTTGGAACATTCACAGCTTCTGGAGGCAGGTTGTTCCACTAATTAATTCAGCTACCCTTAGTTAAAATTACCTTTCTTATATATGAAGTGTAACATGAAAGGCTAATTAAATTGAATAAAAAAGTAATTTCTATTTTCCTTGCATCTCTGAGATGAAGAAGGAAAGTTAAGTCTCAGGTTTTTTCTTGTAACAGTAAAAGTATATATATAAAATACCCATCACATCATTTCTTTTTGAGATAAATAGAGAAAAAAATAGAAGAATTTCAGAAGAAAGCAGTTTGCATGTCCATATTGATTTGGCTTCTCTCATTTTCAACAGCTTTTCATTTCATGTTTCTTCCACTATTTCGTCTTTCTTTTCGTCTAGCCATTATTGTTTATTTTAATTGATAGTCTATGCTGATTATAATCCATATACTATGGCAGGAGTTTGTAATGACCATGGGAGGACATATGCATTATATACTATAACTGTTCAACGTCGAACTGCAACTACTAATGATGAGTGGAAAACATATCGCCGCTACAGTGATTTCCATGACTTCCATATGAGAATCACTGAACAGGTAATTTGAAATTATCTTGATTTGTTTATTTTTTGAGAAAAACATCGATTAATTAAAATTAGCAATGAATAAATTTCATTTTGTTTGCTTGAAATCAATGGATTTTGGTTTATCTTATTCTTAAAACTAGAGATCCCCAACCTCTGGGCTATGGCCTTCTGAGTGCCTGGTGTGTGCGCTCACCCCTGTCCTTGCACTTGCGCTAAGCAAGTGTTAGCCTCTTGTTGGTGCTAGGCAAGTCGCGAGCCTCTTGCCAGTGCTAGGCAGGCCACGAGCCTCTCGCTGGCACTAAGCAAGCACCACGCTGGTGCTAGCAGCCACATTTGCGGAGCGTGCGTGCTCAAGGCCCCGGTCATATGTATGTGCATGCAGCCACATTTGTGTGTGCGCGCATGCGCGTATAAAGTCCTTGTCCCTCCCTTTCCCACCAGGCCGCCAACCCAGAAAGGTTGGCGACCCCCACTTAAAACCATTCCACAGTCTCCTAATTATATACTTGAAATTGGAGTAAGCTAATCAGAGCCTGATGAAATTTGCATACCAGACTTTCTAGTTCCAAACTTCAACCCTCTTATTATTGTTATTTTATCTTTTATAACCTGCATACATTGACTTCTTGCAGATATATTTTTACAGACAATTGCAAAATGTTTCTTAATTGTATTACTCTAGAAATTAATATTGACACAATATTAAAGATTAAATCAATTAAATGTTCCTGTAGAATGGTGATGGTGAACCTTTTAGAGACCAAGTGCCCCAAAACTGGCTCCCGCCCTGCTCCACCCCCTGGCCCACCCTCACCCTGCTTGCCCGCAGGGCCACTCACCGCCTCCAGGGCCTGCCGCAAATCGCCCAGGCAATCCAGCAGCACCATGGCCACACCCTCTGCCCGCGCATCAACTGCATGATGGGGCATGAGGGCAGAGTCTTGTCTACGCTGCCTGGCTGTCATGTCCTTGGCTGTGCTGCTCTGGGTGGGCCACGCTCGGGGGCAACTCTCCTCCAGGGGGGCTGCTGGTGAGGAGGGGGTCTCGGGGGGAGGCAAGGCTGGGGCAATGGTACATGTGCCCACAGAGAGGGCTCAGAGTGCCGCCTCTGGCATGCGTGCCATAAGTTTGCCACCACTGCTGTAGAACATCCTGTAGAAAATCTTGTATGAAAAAAAGAGAATGTAAACTGGGTGACAGCTCTTCTTTTTGATAGCTAATTTAGATACTGAGAAAATGTATACCGATGTGTTGTTATTCAAACCTATACCTTCAATCTAGAAAGCCTCCGTCCAGAAACTGGTGATTGTAAATTCCAATGTAACTAGCCACCGATGTAAATATGTTTTAATATAGTTAATTCTAGTAAACAAGGAAAACAGCCTAAGAGATTTGGAGAAGACTTTCCTGTCGAATAGACCTTGTGAAAAAAGTAGCAGTGTTGTATCTATATTGGTTATGACATTTGTTTATTTATTACATGTAAATGCCACTTTGTTGTTGTTAATTGCGAAGTCGTGTCCAACCCATCGCGACCCCATGGACAATGTTCCTCCAGATCTTCCTGTCCTCTACCATCTTTTGGAGTCCATTTAAGTTCACACCTACTGCTTCAGTGACTCCATCCAGCCATCTCATTCTCTGTCGTCCCCTTCATCTATTGCCCTCAATCTTTCCCAGCATTAGGCTCTTCTCCAGTGAGTCCTTCCTTCTCATTAGGTGGCCAAAGTATTTGAGTTTCAACTTCAGGATCTGGCCTTCTAAAGAGCAGTCGGGTTGATCTCTTCTAGGACTGACCGGTTTGAACGCCTTGCAGTCCAAGGGACTCGCAGGAGTCTTCTCCAGCACCATAGTTCAAAGGCCTCAATTCTTTTGCGCTCAGCCTTTCTTATGGTCCATCTTTCACAGCCATACATTGCAACTGGGAAAACCATGGCCTGGACTATACGCACTTTTGTTGGCAGGGTGATGTCTCTGCTTTTTCGTATGCTGTCTAGATTTGCCATAGCTTTCCTCCCCAGGAGCAAGCGTCTTTTAATTTCTTGGCTGCAGTCCCCACCTGAGGTGATCTTGGAGCCCAGAAAAATAAAATCTGTCACTACCTCCATTTCTTCCCCATCTATTTTCCAGGAATTGAGAGGGCCGGATGCCATGATTTTGGTTTTCTTAATGTTGAGTTTCAAGCCAACTTTTGCACTCTCCTTCTTCACCCGCATCAAGAGGCTCTTTGGTTCCTCTTCACTTTCTGCCATTAGCGTGGTATCATCTGCATATCTTAGGTTGTTGATATTTCTTCCGGCAATCTTAATTCCAACTTTTGTTTCATCTAGCCCTGCCTTTCTCATTTATGTGCTCTGCATATAGGTTAAATAGGCAGGGTGACAGTATACAGCCTTGCCGGACTCCTTTTCCAATTTTGAACCAATCAGTGGTTCCGTGTCCAGTTCTCACTGTTGCTTCTTGACCCGCATATAGGTTTCTCAAGAGACAAATAAGATGGTCTGGTATTCTCATCTCTTTAAGAACTTGCCACAATTTGTTGTGATCCACACAATCAAAGGCTTTAGCATAGTCAATGAAGCAGAAGTAGATGTTTTTTCTGGAACTCCCTAGCTTTCTCCATGATCCAGCGTATGTTGGCAATTTGATCTCTAGTTCCTCTGCCTCTTCGAAATCCTTCCTATACTTCTGGTAGTTCTCGATCCACATACTGCTGGAGTCTAGCTTGTAGGATTTTAAGCATAACTTTACTAGCATGTGAAATGAGTGCAATGGTGCGATAGTTTGAACATTCTTTGGCAAAATGCCACTTAGCTCTTAGCAATTCTGTGTGGTGAAATTAATTAATAATATTCTCTTTTGCTGAAATGCTACAATGTGTGTGTATTTAGAATGAACTGCCGCATCTGTTTTTTTTTAGTTTGAAAACCTAGGAAATTTATTGAAACTTCCTGGTAAAAAAACATTCAACAATATGGATAGAGATTTTTTGGAAAAGAGGAAGAAAGATTTAAATTCATACTTACAGGTATGTTCTTATACTCAGATTCTTAGTTAAAATGAGTGTATTTTGTTACTTTCCTCTCCCATTAGACTTCTAGGATATTGCAGTAAATTTTATAGATATTTAGGATAGCATGCTTTGGAATTACATAAATATTTAAAAAACGCCCTAGGGTTTATTTGATGTCCACTCATTAGTGACTGAAGTTATGATAACCCTAAACAAAGGGTATTTCCAATAGGCCCTTATGGTTGTGGCCATTGCAATGTCCCCAACAATCACATGATCACAATTTGGGTGCTCTGCAACCAGTTCACAATTATAATATTGCAATAATATTGCATGTGACTATCATTTGTGACTTTCACTGCCAGCTTCCAACAAAGTTAATAGGGAAGATGGCTGGAGATCACAAGTGGTGATTACTTGATCATGTAATGCTACAGCTGCCTGGGATTTGCCTAACAACAGCAATTGGGACTGCCAGAACTATCATTGTTGATGTGGTGATGTGATGTTGTGTTTTCATTCATGTTACTTAGTAGTGGAGTTCCTGTTACCACATCTTTAGTAAGGATCACCTGTTCGGCTGTTGGGAGACTGGCACATTAAATGAGTTCACTTCCAGATAGAATCAAACCATAGTTATCATACAGAGCTAACTGTCCTTAAAATTAATATGGAGTTTTGGCCATGGGGAGTTGAATGGGATAGCTAAAATTGTTCAACAATAATTCAGTAATTGACTACAGTTGGGTAGGACTTTGGGCAACACAGTATTGGTACTTTAATTTTTATATATATAAATCATATATATATATATATGTAGGTCTTTGGTTGTTCGGGTTTTCTCCCGCATAAAATTGGAAGTTTTATATATATATGCATTGTTTTAATTTCAGAGCAAAATGTTTATTTTTCTTAATGTAATTTGCATGTTTTACCTACTAGCTTTTGTTAACACCCGAAGTGATGAAAGCTTATCCGTCTTTAGCACACTATGTGTATGATTTCTTGGAAAACAAGGCATACAATAAAGAGAAGGGGGATTTTGCTCGGAAGGTAAGATGTATATATTATAACTTAGCAATCAGAACTTTTCAAAGAATAAATAATTTAGTCTGTTTTCATTTCATCAAAACTCTATGATGTAGTCCTTTAACCAATATGACACAGTTAATGTATGAATTTGTTACTTTGTATAAATACAGACTGCAAATAAGAATAGAACCATTGAAATAGAACCATTGAATTATTCTCAGAGAACAATTTTTTTGATACAGAATCTTTGTAGTGAGAACGTTTTCTTTTGAAGAAATATGTAGAAGTTTATTCTAAAATTTTATGTAGTGTTTTTAAACATGTTAAGATTTCTGTCCTTTGATCTACCTTTAAAGCTGCTGATCATTTCAGGCATCACTTGCTTTATAGTTTCCATTTGCCTGCTTTAAAGAGAGAATGCATGTCTCCCACTGAAATTGCTTTTTGAGGCTGTTTCACATCAAGGAATTAAAGCACAGTTTTTTTTCTCATACAGTCCTTATCAAAACTGATCATTCAGCAGTTGAGATAAAACTAAATTCCTTTGCAGGTTTTTTGCACAGGTATCTTTTTTTTTTTTTTTGCTATGACCATTCTTTTTAATAAAATGTATAAAAGGCAATATTTCAAATTTAATTGAAGATTTAATTAATAGCAGTTCTAAAAAATATTTCAGTAACAGTAGCTTCCAATAAACTAAGTTATTTGATTCTTCTTAAAACTTTTATGGAATTAAGCAATAAAATTAATGTTGTGTTATCACTCCACACTATCTTTACTTGAACAAGAAGAGATCAACTTTCCTTTGAGAGTAGGCTGAGGAATACCTTGCAAAATTTTCCTATGTCTTTCAAAAATGGTAAGCTTCAGCTTAAAATTGTAACAAAAGTAATATTTTTAAAGATTCATTCCAGATATTTCACAAATTTCATAAATATAATGTTTCAATTAGTTTATTATATCTGTTAATTTAAAAGATGTTCAGAGTAGTTAGCCATAAAATTTAACAAACCAGCAACTTTTTAAGCATCAACATTTTTGCACAAATAAAAATCATTTTCATTTGCTTTCTGATTTATAGAAGGCTTGTCTAAAGTTATGTGCCCTAATTGGAATATCTCTTTATTTCTTGTCTTTATTTAAATTAACTCAAAAAGTTAGAAACATTCACAGCAAAACTTCCATATGGGAAGCACATATGGCAAAAAAAAAATATCTTTCAGATGTTCTACTTCTTGGCTGCTTGTAGTTTGATAAATGCAAGTTGGCACATAAAATAATTTTGTAGATTAAAAGATGGACAGCGTATTTTAATTTAATTTTACAGTCACTTAATATATTTGGATCAATTGTAGTTTTTGGATAGTCATTGACAGCCCACTTAGATCTCACTGCAATAACTGAACTAAATTACCTGTGTTGACTTGGCTTAATTGTCCCAGAGAAAAAAAGCATATCATGAATCATCTAATCAAAACAAAGTATGTAGTCTGCAGAATTTTTGAAAATTTCCATTTGGAAAACTAGATCTAAATCTTCTTTCAAATTGGCTAGCTTTAATGTGTATTTTATGCTGTTTTATACTGTATTTTTAAAGCCTGATATATTTTTCTTGCAAGTACTTGAATATAGGTTGTCCTCAACTTGTTACCACAATTGGGACTAAAATGTTGTCACTGAGTGAAGCAGTCATTAAGTGAGCTATCATGTGACTCTCCATATGATTTCTTTGCTTAGCAACCACAATCTCAGCATTCTGAATTGTGGTCATTATGCAGTTAAGCTGACAGAATCCCATGTAAGGAGGACAGGGAGTTGCAGAGGATGGGGTATACCCTTCAAGGTTCCACTCAGGAGCTGAAAATGCTTGCTGTCAAAATGCAAGCAGCCCCCGAATAAAGAGAAAAAATCTTTTGAATGTGGTCCACATAGGCTCTTCCAGGGCCTCCCCACCCACCTGAGACTCTCTGCACTCCTTACTTTACTGCATTGACTGCTTCTGCTTAGATTTCAACTCTTTTATATCTCAGGGGCTGGTTGAAAGAGCTGCCTGCCAAAATATACAGCTTCTTTCCATGCATGAATAGAATTCCTTTGGCGGAATGCAAGAATAGATATGAAATCTTCAGGATTTCGGTTCCATTTTTGCACCCTGCCGAATGAGTTCAGTTCCCTCAGAAGGAGAGGGGTGTTGTCCATCCCCCAGAGACAAGAGGGAATCCTTTAGCAAGCAGCCACAGCTTGCAATCTTTCCTGCTGGCTTCCCTGTTGACTTTCTGAGGAAATCAGCAGAGAAGATTGCAAATGGTGGTGATATGATCATGAACACTTGGCAATCAGTTCTAAGTACTAACAGATTGTCAGTCATCCAGATCATGATTATTTGGCCATATGGGCTGTAACAAAGTGGCCAGAAGCACCTTTCAGGCCACCCTTTCCAAGGCTATTATAATTCTGTTAAGCAAAGTGTTGTAAGTCAGGATTACCTGAATACAATATACTTCCATTTATTTTAACTACTATGTCTTGTCCACAAGCTGTATGGTTTAGAAAATCTTATTCCTGTTGTCTAGAGTAGACTGCTAATATAACTAATGTATTTTTACATTTGGAAATGTGGTCACTCTTTTCCATATTTTGAGTGGCAGAGTAATTTCATAAATGAACAAATCAAGGGAATCAGTGGGTTCTAGATATTTGAAAATGAAATGCAGAACTGAACAGAATACCTGCAGATAAATAATAAATATTATGCTTTACTATAAACATCAGATAATTCTAACATTAGCATTCAGATTTAATTGTATTCTGAAAAATTCATCCAATGTCATAACACATGGCATAGAATCTGCTTACTTGAAGGAGCACTTGTCTCCAGTAACATCGGCCCAACCAATTATATTTTGCAGGATTGGTATACTCTGGTTTCCTTTAATTAAACAATGTCATTTATCGAGGCCTTGGAAGCATACCTCCTCTGTAGCAGTGCTTCCCTCTGGAAGGAGAAGGAGGGAGGGAGGGAGGGAGAGAGAGAGACTCCTTGCTTTATCATGTTTTTTATCTCTTAACTATCTTTTAATTTTTATTGATTTTTATTGTAATTTTTTTTATTAGATTGTTAGGAATTATCCAAAGTTGTTGAGAGTTGGGCAGCATAAAGTTTTAATGATGCCTTCTTATAGTCAACTTGATGTTTAGAATGGATTTTGCATTATTGAGTCCTTCCCAAGAACCTAGAATAGGCAGTTGTTGTTATATGCACAATATTGTGAACTCATAGCTGTCCCTACTTTAGCTGACATTAACCTTCATATGCGTGAAGTTTTTCTCCAGAACCTAGACTGTAGTAATATATCAGCCTAGAATACATACCAGTCCAAGCATCCAATTCAAATGTTCCTTTTGTAATTGCTAGATGGAAATTTTGTCAATGCACACATTTTCTAAGTGGTGTCCAATTATTATTATGATTATTATATTATGGACATCTTGCATGAGAGATAAAACAGGCAATGGCAAACTATGAGAAGTTAATTCTAAAATTATATTTTGCTTCCCTCCATACCAAACTTTTGTTTATAGATCTGCCATTACTTATTACTACATGGATATTATCTTGCAGGATCTCAAAGTAACATATAAATATAGTACAGCATTTGCCTGCATTAAAATTTTTCTTTTCCCAATAGTTGTTATATGAGAGCTAATAGGCTAATAAGTTTTATTATTCACAATTTTCCTTTTAATTTTCTCCCAGCTTTCCATAACAGTCCTTTATAAAAAAAAATTAAATCATCTGTTAAGGAGGCTGTGAGTTATGGAAGGTTTCTGGTGAAAGAGACAAATGGAAGCATCTATAGAGAACTCATTGGCTTCCAACTATGGTTGTTATTTAGCATCAGTTGAAGTACTTTGCTAAGTAGCATAGCAAAAACCACATTTTGTCCTAAGAAATTTGCTGTCCAAATGTAGATTTGGGAATTGAATATAGGATTGGATAAAGGACGAAAAGAAACAGTAACACTCACTTTGAATATGTGATTAAGATGTTTTATATTCAAAATAACTGAATATGAATGCTTTATATTTATACCATGTATTATTTTTATTAATAATTTTGTGTTACTAGTCTCCAAAATAGTGTGATGTTTTCCAACATGCATTATTGGATGACTATAATCATGTCCTCATAGATTTCTGCAAGCGTGGTAAATGTTTTCCTCTTCAGGTGGACACATTTGTAAATCCACTGCGTAACTCTATGAGAAATGTTTCAAATGCTGTCAAATCCATCCCTGACAGCTTCACAGAGGGGATGACAAAAATGTCAGACAACATGGGCAAAATATCAGAAAGATTGGGACAAGATATAAAGCAATCATTTTTCAAGGTAAGAATGTACATATAAAACAACAGAGTTTGTACTGTTTTGGGTTACTTTGATTATCCATCTCTCATTCTTCATCTCAAATATCAGGATACCAAATCCTCAGAGTTTTGGGGTTTTAGCTGCAGCCCTTGAATATCTGATCTGTCTGTAAGGAAACCATCCTCAATGGTAATTTATTTTCATTAATGAAATAGTTTTCATCAGTAGTCATATCTTCTTAGATGACCAGTACGAAACATTATTAATGCAGTTGTACCTGAAGGGGAATTGTATTTATTGCTTGTATTCTATTCCCCTTGTTGCATAATAACATCTTTGCCATAGCTGCTTAGCCTAGTTTCTGGGGTAGCAGTGGAATATCCTAAACTAGTGACATTGAGAATTTCAAATTGCCTGTGCTAGGCAAGGCTTATGGAGGAATTGAGGAGCCTAGACTGTCATGACAACCATGGACCCAACCCAACTTATTGAGAGTCTGATGTATCTAAGTAATCCAGGCTAAGTGGGCAGATGCAGTTTGGAAGTGGAGGATATCAAGCATAGCCAGTTGTCATGGACGCATCACTCTGTGGCTGCTATTTGCGATGTGACCTCTTCCATTATGAAAAAGAATGTTGGTATTTCCCCAACATAAATAAATAACATCCATAAATAATATGAATAAAGAGCTTTGAGAGTTTCATCAGGATGTGGTAGCCAGTTTGGTAAAAGCTGTCCAATGGAATAAGGAAGTGATTGTGATACTGGACCACAGATCCAGTAACATCTTGTGTGGCAATTACAACAATTCCTGAATTGGGGGCCCTTGCTTACAGTCAACCTATACCCTAGTCATCTTCCATTTGGATTACTCTACATGGGGTTACCATGAAAAGCTTTCAGCAACTACATTGACTACTCAGACAATAATAGATAACTCCAATGCTTCAGAAGTTTCATGTTCTGGTACAGATTAGGTACTGGTTGTCTAATTGTTAAGGCCCTGCATACATAGTGATCTGAGGATTGCCGTATCTTATATTTATCTGCCCATCCAGACAGGTCAAGTAGGGTCAGCTTCTTCATGGCCTATCTGCATAAGAAAGCCATTTGACAAGTGGGCATTTTTCCATGACTGTTCCTATATCTGCATTTTTCCTCAAGGAAACTGGTTTGCATTTCCACTCTGGGTTTAACTGGAGAGCAGTTAAACCTGATTAACTCCTGGCATGGAGCATGCTGTGACTGAAGTATGGAATTTGGCAGATCTCATATCTTTTTTAGAGCATAATTTTGATTTGATATATGGTTTATTTCATTTGTAAATTTGTTATTTTTGAGGATAAATATATTTTTGGTTTGGCGATTATTGTTAGCTATCCAGTGCTGTTGGGAGCAAATAGCATACAGATTAATTAAATAATATCTATTGCTTTCGAGCAACATGCTTACCTTCAAAGTAACTATTGAACTACATAGGAGGAGCAGATAATTTTTTGTGCAAAAATCTCATTTCGATCAAGTTGAGCGGCAAATAAATGTAATAAATAAATAATTCTCAGACTTTCCAGATTATAAGCATTGCTAATTACATTTTTCTTAAATCCTAGTTATAACAGCTTCTGAGTTAAGTTGAAACTTTTTAATGTTTTATAAACATTTTAATTATTTAAAACAAAATGTTTGTGCTACATATAGATAACATATATAATATTTAGGTATTTTATGTACATGTCTGCAAACATACAAGTAGACATATACAATTATTATAATATGATTTCTAAATTTGTTTGGTATTTTATAATTACTCAGTTTAGAAATTTGCTTATGTTTGATACCCCAAATGAATTTTAGTGAGACTTTGATTATGTAGGTGAATTGTGTTATAAGTTGTTTTTGTGTTCTTGTTTTAAATAGAACTATTGCATAAAACTCCTTGATTCTAATCCAAAATGTAATTTTAGACTTGGATATTATGGAAGCTTCTACTTTGCATGCTTTGCAATTTCTTCACATTTTTTGTCACAGTGTAAGAATGGTACACATTATCAACTCTGCAAATTCTATTAAAGTGTCCAAAGCCCTGGGTATATTTCAGACCTCCTTTTCTGCTATAATATATTCTCATTTAACATGTCTTTGTGGAATTTCATATCCTTGAATAATGGAATGCTCTCTGTATTCAGTGCCTGAGTTGTGTAATTCAGTGTAGAAATAGATAGTTTAGGCCTGATTTTTGACAGGCTAGATATACACAATTCAGATATACACCAACATTTCTGGATGGGACAAATATCTGAAGCAATTTGTTTTCTTTCATTTTTCCCAGTAGCCTTGCTTTCATCAATTGTTTACCTATCCCTGAATAAAATATACTTATACCATTTGGCCTTGTCATTGCTAACCTACCTCTACTCTGCACATATGAATGCATCTTTCTTTTTAAAGATTATTTAAATATTTGAATAAATAAATTTAAATAAAAAGGGGGAGAGATAGTAATTTCAATTGAATATATTTTCTTGTTATATTGACTAAAGATAACATTTGTAAATTCACAAATACAGGTTTCATTAACTATACACATTACATTTGTATAAGTCAAAAACTATGGGATAAACTGCACTAAAATGAAAGCATATTATGTAATTGATCACAATATTACATTATACCTTGATTTAAATTATAAAACCATTGTATAATGTCATTTATGCTATATGAGATTGTATTTTATAAATTCAATTCTATTTGTTCTATATGCTACTATACATTAATAAGTATAAAAATGTAGATGTTTATTATCTGACTATAGAGAATCATAAAGTATTTGAAATTGTGATTTCTTTTAACTTTGATTTAAATACTTCATATATAAGAAAGAGTTCTTTGTGTGTGTGTCTGTGTGTGTGTGTTATAAAATACGATTTTGAATTACGTTTTGTTACCCTGTATTTGTAAATGATTCTGTCTTTTATAACATGTTTTCCCTGTCTGGAATATTTAGGAGCCTCCTTTAATGCAGAAGACATATGTTGATCCTAAACACTGTAGGGTTTCAGCACACCTAGATGATAATGTGAGTTAATTATTTGATTAATTCAACAGAATTAATGAATTGCAAAATAGCAGATTGTATTGTCTTTTTCTTTATTGAAATGTATCCAACCTTTCATTAGAATCTAAGTATTTTATCAGTTCTTATTGTGCATAAACAATGTTGGTTTTTTTTAAACTTCAAATCCCTATGTCTTATATTGGACTCTTAGAAAATTTCTTTCAGTTGTCAAAGCTATCCATCTTAGCAAAGCAGTTTCTTCACAAAGACAAACTCTGAATGTATGAGCATTGTGTCCTGGATCAAAACATAATAAGATATAAAAACAAAAAATAAGCAAAATAAATGTTTTGTATTTCAGAACTTGGGTAAAAAAGGAACATTCAGTTTCAAATAATTATTGTCTATTGATAAAGTCAAAAAAATGATATTTCAAAGAATTTATTCGGGTAATACTTAATACAGAGTCCCTTATTGAATTGGGCAACTATAGAAATTAAATAAATATAAATAAATAAATAGACCAATTTATTGTTTATTTTGAAGTTAAGGATACTTCCAGTTTGGTCCTCTACTTCCTTCAAAGTTAAGGAATAATTATAGTTATAATTAATCTACATAATAATCTGGATTATTTGCATTTGTTAGCTAATTATTTGGCATGCAGGTAAAAATTTATGACAAACCCTAATCCTTTTAATCAGTGGGGGAAATGCTTAAATTTTTAGCCTGTAATTCTACAATTTTGGAATATTCTTTTTCTTCAATAACACAAGCCTTGGTTGTGTTTTCTAAAACAAAACAGATCCTTGAGTCAGGTATAAAATCCACAAAAAACGTGCAAAAATAAAAGAAGAGTTGCTTTAGGCCTTCGTGATAGGCATGCAGAACTGATTGAGCATTTCTTTTGATTTTCACTTGCGTGATTATACAAAATGAGTATTTTCAGGATGTTTATAATCTTATCAGCAGTTGATGATTTCTGTATCACTTCTAAGATACTTTAGCCAATAGAATATTTAATTTTGTGATCCCATACTTTACCAAATCCCAGCTATATGAAATCAATTGAAAAGACATTGTATGTTTAATGAGAATACAAATCCACAAGATTATCAGTGGTTATGGATATATTTGTCATGGTTCAGATGTCTGCACCTGTTCTATATTTCACTTGTTTTTACTTGCCACATCAAAGCATTCCAGTTGGTATTTCTGTTTACTTACTATGACTGTGACATTGCCAAATTTCCTTATTTCTTCTCAGATGTTTTATATGTTTATGCATGTTGTTGTTTTTAATATTCTAGATTTATTTATATACATTATTTAAATTAATTTTCAACTCTGTAATTTTCAGTGTTCTGGGTTCATTATTGGTATATTCATTCCCTAATTCATGGTATACTGATCTAATATAGTCTAATATGATATACCATATTATAATGGTATATAATGGTAATGGAATAATGGTATACCATATTGTGCATATTGATTGGTGCTTACTGTATTGGATTTGTATTATAGCATTTCACAATCCATTGTGCATTGAATGATTCAAAAAATGCTTTTTAGATTTGTAAAAATGATACGTAAAGGGGCATCAGAATGCTAGCAAAGATTTGTCTGAAATTTCTAACATTTTTAAAACATTTTGATACTGCAAATTCAGTGTATAATATTCCACAGTACTGTGCTTTTTAAAGATGATGGGCAAATTAATTAATTCCACTAGATAAATGCAAATCCATGGGATACCCAGGGAAGTTTTTTAACTCCCTCATTTAATTTCAAGATATATTTTGAATTGTATTGTATTTTATTAGTTTTTCAAGAACATACTGGTAAAAATATAGGTGAACTATTAATAAATGTAAAATTATTCACATAATAGCTATCATTTATTTTTCTTTTGCTATTACAGTATTACAGTATTCTGCCACAGTAGTATTACAATATCATCGGAATCTTCAGAAATAAAATACATGAAAATTTTCTGCTCTTTGTGTCATTGTCTGCTAGATCAAGTAGGGATTATTTCTGTTTGCAAGAATAATAAATATTACTGGACTATTCCAATATAGTTGCTTGAAAACAAGAATTCTAGTATTAATAAATATTTTAACAAACAAGCAATTTAATGTTGTTTAATATAGATAATCTGCCTTTAACAATAAGTACTCCATTATATTTTATTAGGTAGAAGACAATGTACCTCTTAAAATAATGCTGCTACTCATGGATGAAATATTCGATCTGAAGGAGAGAAATCAGTGGCTACGACGGAATATCAAAAATTTGCTTCAGCAGCTTATTAGAGCAATGCATGGATATACAATAAATAAGTACTTTCTTTCATTGCCTCATTCTTAAAAACCTGTGCATTATATGGAAAAGATACAAAAAATCTATGCTTTTGCTTTTAAACATTAATTATTTGAAAATGGATATATTGTGAATTAGGGAATGAATATGATATGAATATATAACTGCTTTTCTCATATTGCTGGGTCTGCATAGAATAGGTGAGGAAGGATTTGCCTGTCTGATTGAGTACCCTGCTCTTTCATAATTGTTTCATCAGGCTACATAATTTACATCAGCAGTGTTTGCAATGGGAAGCTTTAAAAAGTCAATATGGCAAGATAATCAAGCTTTGCTTTTTGTCCATATAATACCAGTACAATGCACAAGGGTAGAGCTTCACTATGCTTGATGCTTTTGATGCCCCTATCTACCATTGATGCAGCTACTTTACATACTCTTTTTTTTTACTTAGTTACTTAGTATACCATTATTTCCTAATGGTCTTCTAATAGTATCAACATAAAATAACATCTCAAAAGGACACTAAATACATATATAAAAATTGACAAGAAAAAATGAAGAAATAAAAAAGTCATACACCTGCAAACCCTACCATCAGTAATACCACTGAAGAAGAACAAGTAGTTCTTCTTATAAGGAAAGGTGAAGGTGACCAAATATCTGCCGGGAGGAAATTCCAAAAGGTAGAGAAGCTTCTAAAAAATCTGCTTTTAAAGATCTATCAGATGATATACTTGTATAGTTAAGACCTGGAGAAAGTTAATAATATTTTATCTGTTTGGACATACAGATGAAAATAGAAAAAAGGTGCTCCATCAGATAATGATGTCTAGAGCTGTAGGGCTTTAAAGGACTTTTAATTGTGCCCAGAAACCAACTGGCAAACAGTGCAATTCCCAAAGCACTGAGGATACCCAAAGATATTAGGATTCAATCAGTCAATCATAATAGAGCCGGAAGGATCTTGGAAGACTTCTAGTCCAGCCTCCTACTCAAGCAGGAGTCCCTATATAATTTCAGACAAGTGGCTGTCCAGTCTCTTCTTAAAACCTTGAGCGATGAAGCATCCACAAGGTCTGAAGACAACCTGTTCCACTGACTGATTGACCTTACTGTTAGGAAGTTTTTCCTTAATTCCAGGTTGCTTCTTTCCTTGATTGATCTTCATCAATTACTATCTGAGTGCTGCATTTTATAGCAGCTGTACCTCATAAAACCTCTTCAAGAGCAGCTCTCTGTGAAGCATAATATGATATTCTAAAATATTTCTAAAAAAATATTCTTATTATGTTCCAGTCTTTTTTTATCTAACTAAAATAGCAATTTGTGTCACATCTTCATAACTTTCTGGTTGCACTTAAATGGGGAAATCTGTATTGCAATTATCATTAAATTAAATTTCATCATAAGTATCAAGATTAGCTGTTTCTGATTCTCAGGAATTGTATGACATTATTAATAAGCCACAAAGACTTCATAGGAGATTTCTATATTCTGGAAGTATATGTTTTCTGTCAGCATATTTGCAAAAAATATAAAAATACTCTAGCAATTGTATCAGCAATAAATTTGTTACCTAGAAAGGGTATGCATTTGACAAAGATAAATATAAATGGAGCATATCCCCTTCTGTTCTCTTCTTTTCACTATTTTTATATTTTTGGTTCTTTATTAGAAGTATTTTCATTATTGTGAAGTGGGTTGGATTCATTTATAGTTGACCTTAGTGGTGTTCTTGTGATTTTAGTGGGACCCAGGCTTAAGTAATTTAGTTTGGATACAGATAAATGAACGAAAATAGTTGTTTCAAAAAAAAAAAAATAATTCAGGAATTTTATTTGTTTCAGAAAAATAGTTGATCATGTTGATTGGATGACATCTCCTGAGCAAGTAGCAGATGCAGTTAAACGGTTTAGGTAGGTCTTTAAAGGAGGGTCAGATTCCCTTAAAATTAATTTTAGTAGTTACAAGATAATTTTTCTTCATTAGAGCTTACTAAGGCTTAGGATATTATTAGCCTTGTACAAAAAAATTTACTTTGTAAATTAATTTGTAAATAGATATAAAAAGAAAAGGTGTAAAAATCCTTTGCAATAAAAAAAATCAAAGTTTTTGCTTCTGATTAAATGAAATAGCTATAAAATTACTTCTCATTTGGTAAGTACCTTGATTAGCAACATTCACAAATATAATAATTTAAAAATCATTTTCTGACATTGTATGCATTTATCACTAAATTTCTGGTGCTTGAGAATAAAATCCTTCAGTTGAAATGAATAATAAAAGTCTAGTCAGTTTCAGGCAATAGCAACAGTTGGTAACAGGGTTCTATCAGTTAAAGTCACAGAGATGACCTTTTTAATTTACAGGGTTTTTTTAGAGAAGCACTATGCTGCTGGAAAAGGCAGCTCAGGTAGAGCTAGCATGTTTAAGTAATTCATCGGTCTGTGAGAAGGCACAAAATGAAATGTCACGCACAGGATACTATAGGGCAGTGATGGCGAACCTTTTAGAGACCGAGTGCCCAAACTGCAACCAAAAACCCACTTATGTATTGTCGGGTGCCGGTTGGGTGTAGCCCATTGGGTGGGTGTGGCCAATTGGGTGGGCGTGGCCCATGTGGATGTGGCTGCCATGGTAATGGCAGGCTGGGTGAGGCTAAAAAGTTCAATCAATCAGTTCCAACTTTGTGAGATTTTTTTTCCCCGTGAGAAGTTGATTGATTGATTGAACCTTTTTTTTTTTTTTTTTGCACACGGTGGTGGAGACCTAAAGCAAAAAGGTTTTTTAAAACCCAGCTGAAGGTCTAGGACTGGGGTGACGGCGCGTGTGCCCACAGAGAGGTTAGCCACCATGCTATAAGGCAGAGCTTTATCTGAATGAGATGGCAACAAGTATGTTCTTTGCAGCTTCTTTCTTACGGTCATGTATTCACTTAACAACCAGTCATTGGAAAGAAACATATTCATTAAATGAGGAGAGAATGTATGTAATTTTGTATGTACCACCTAGCTAAGTTTTACTGATTGCTGAGCTTAATATCGCCCAATTTCATTGGGCTACACTTTGCAAGGTGATTTTTGCAAGGTGTATGGAACACAGTCACATGTATAATGTCACTGATGCCAAAGCCATTACAAATTCAATAAATCACTGAAAAGCAGAGTCTGATAATGCATATACATTTATCAAGAAAAAAAATCACTCAAGTGCTGTGCTTTTATTTTATGCAAATCTGTCATAGGCAAGATGTTATTGGTAACAGCACTATTTTTAGATATTGTAATTCTAAAACGATAGTCATTTTAATAAGTAGATTTGTCTCCTTCTAGAGATGCCTTTTGGCCAAATGGCATTTTAGCTGAAACTGTTCCCCACAGAGATAATGCAATCAGAATGCGAACACGAATTGCTGCAAAAACAAAACTGCTGGGAGTAATGCCTGGTACGTGGAATATATTAATTACTTCTTGAACTGAAATAGGAAATATATATCAATTGTAGTAACTAAATACAGTCTTGTTTTCTCTCCATATAAATATTTTATAAACAAATTGAGAAATAATACTTACATAAAAAAGTGATATTGCTTGAATATATTTAACTTTTTATGGAATCCATTTTAAATGGTATTTTTAATAATTTATAATCAGATGTTCATTCAATTAATATATATATGAAAAATGAAGATAAAGCTTCCATTGAAGTTTGTTTGTGGTTTATCTAGATGAGTTGAAGCATATCCTTGGTGCTGAGACAACAAGAAAAGGCATTCTCCGAGTCTTTGAAATGTTCCAGCATACTCAACTAAATAAGAGAATGGCATATGTTTTCCTGGAGGGCTTCTTGGAAACCTTATTTTCAGAGTATGGATTCCATGATCTCTTCAAAAAATTGCATTCACGTTCAAAGCAAATGCAGATATATAAACATAAACTACAATCTACACAATCATCTTATTTACAGAAAAGGTGACACTCCCTACTATAAAATTGGTGTCCATTTGCCCAAGACCTGGGCATATTCTCTGGGGCTTAAAACTCATGTTGTTATTCTCACACCAATCTTTTAGAATCTTATATTAGATCATTAATACATACATAAGAAATGTGGTTCTTCTCATTTTTCATCACTATTGCAACCATTATCATGAACTGGATTCATGTGTTTTAAATGATTTGGTGTATCTTTGTGTAACATTGAGAAGGATACTAGTCTGTTGTGGGAATCTCTGTCTTTTCCGAATCTTATAGATTGTGATTGCCAACAATGAAAAATACTATATTGGGTCCATTAATTAAAGTAAAGCTCAACTTCTAGGGTAGAAATAGAGGACTTGACTACTTTGCTTGGAACTAGGAGATTGTGCAATGTGAGAATCAGGTGTGATTTGATTTGTATTATGAGTACCTCCTAGTTCTGCAGAAGTTGGACTGGCATGATGAGAAATCTAGTGGACAAGTGGTTATAAAAAAATCTGTGCTCTCAAATTATATTTCCAAATAAGTTAAATATCTGGAAAACTTTTATGAACTTATTAAGAAAGACTTTGTTCACATTTTACTATTCAGTGGAATAGAGTAGAAATACAAAAAAATAAAAATAAACATAGATTTAAGGGTCTTGATATATTCTTCAATTTAGTCTTTCAAGGCTACATATAACTTTTAAAAGAGAAGGCTCAAAACAATTTAAAATTAAATCAAGCTAATACATTTATTTCCTTGTTAATAATCTGGGAGATTGGGGGAGAGGCAAATAAAAGCACTATGCTCTTGATGTTAAAAGCTTCTTTGAAAGAAATTGCCCTATTTGACCATAAAGAAATCACTCTGATACATTCACTTCAACTGGTAAATTACTAAAATGAATTGTTATAATATGAAAGTCTTATGAACTTTCCTAAACAGTCATCTGCAAACAATAGCAACTTCCTGAATATACCATAGTGTGTATATGATTATCACAGCTTTTAATATTTTTTTGCAGAATATAAATTTCAATAAATCTTTTCTACATGGAATACCTCATCTGTTTTCTTTACTTCCACCACAATGTCTAATTATGAATGAAGTAATAATTATTTGGACTTGAATTTACATCTTTTTTTCTTATTTTTCTTCAAGAATCCCCGAGACTACCAAGGAAATACAGTTTATTTATTTAAACTTCAAATAATATATTAGATAGTCTATTTAAAAAAGAGTTTAAATCCCTAATAGCCAAACTATAATATTTACTACTCTGATATTAAACATTTTCATTAAAAATATTTGGTTTTCATTAACATGATTTCTTTTGAAGAAATGTTTGACTTTTGAGTGTAAATACTACTGTATTTGCAGAGATCTTGTAACTGAAGTTGCTATTTACATTCAGGAGAAAATAATATGCAACTTCAAAATAAATGAAAGGTGAAAGGAGCAGCATTGCTTCAACAATATGAAGCTTGCTTAGTACTGGTCAGACTGGAAAAAAAATACATGTTCATTATAAGGAGCATGTGCTCAATTGCAATTGTGGTTTTTTTTAAAAAAAATTACAGATTTGTATACTATATGTGTAATACCTTTTAGTGGTAGCAGGACAGTTTAAGATAAAATACATGAAATATTGTTTTCCTGTCTATCATGCCCATGTTTCTAAATATAAATGACAATTGACCTTAAAAGTTTTCGTATAGATATTCTTTTATACATTTCTGATTCTTGATTGTCTCTTTTTCCCATTTCTTAATGAAAAGATAAAAATAGTTTGACTATACAAATTATAATGAGATTTAAATATATAAATTTTTCTATTTTTTAAAAAAAATCAAAATTATTTTACATAGAAAAATAGGACATCAGTACTACTATGGTTAAACTTGGTCCTAGCATTCTGGTGCTTTTTGCATTTTAAATGAAAGAATATTGGGTCCTTTGAATTGTTCTTGCAGTTTAAACTTGCATCCTCTCAATAGGTCTATTTGACCTCTAAATGTCCTTGTGTTCCAGGCAGTTGATTTTTAAAGTGATAGGCAGCTAGAATCTACATAGACCATCAGACAAAGGAAACCCAGTGGGAAACAAATTAGAACTTGCCTTCGATTTCTCTCTTGAATTAATTAACTTGAATTAATCCTTGTAGATTACCCAGATCTAAAATACAAATGGACAAATCGCAGTCAGGAAAATAGAATGTATCTCTTATCCATGAATATCATTTCCAGGTTATAGGATTATTCTCAGTAGTTGATTTTAGAAATTTATTTCATAAAACATTTGCATTAATGAAACATAATATGCCTTTTATGTTAATAGTCACTATACTATAGCATTTTGTCATCTGTATTTAGTTTCAAAATGAGCCCACGGGGAGGAAGCATGTTGTATACATTGCCCTAATAAATTATTATAGTACATTGACATTACATGAACTGTAGCCCATCATTGTATACCCTTTAAAGAATCCACATAATTTAGGTTATTGCTGCACATAATTATCCACATACATCCAGCCTGAGAATGATATGACTAGCCTCTGAAAATAAATGTGCCATTGTCCAACAAATAGACTTATTTAGCCTTAATTTAAGAAAATGGATGGTAAGGTTGAATATTTCATACAGTTCATCCTCAAGCTTCTGCCTCTGGTGTTGCTACAAATAAACAATTTTAATACTACCAGAAAGTGTAATAATTTTAAAAAATAAAATATAAACTCTGCTCTCAATTCTAACTTCAGTGCAATATTTTCATGTAATGCATGTGTATTTGAATAATTGTAAAAAACATTTTTAAGGTTTTGAGAACAAGGGTAAACTATATTAACTAACAATGTATAATATTCAGTTATTGCTGCTGTGTTGGCTTATCTAAGGACTTGTTTTAAAAGTCTGGTTTGTCAATCTTTGAAAATCTTTTCTATGTTCAAAAGAGCATAGATTTTTCAAGGAGCAAAACCTAAAGAGCACATCAACCTGTAGAAGATGTATAAGTGACATGTGCATAAAATTGTATAATATGTGTCAATTGCGTGCCTAATGATTCTATCAATATGCTTTTCTTTAACAAAGAATGGGAAAAAATGAAATGTCATAGTCTCTCTTGTTCTGAACAGATGAAAATTTTTATTTGGAGTTCCCATTATGTTTGTCCATTGAATGAACTTGGAAAAAGTACACTAATAAAGCATTAAAAAGAAATATTTGCATTCAACCTATTTATTTGCCTTGTATAATAAATTTACTATATATAAGGGAACAACAATGTATTTGAAATAACAGTTAAATTCTACCTCATAATAAGAGATTTTGATTCCTGCTAAAAAGAATAAATTGTGGTTTAGCTATATTTAGAAATCATTTATTTTGGCAAATGTAGTAAGTATGATAGTAATTTAGAACAAACATATTGTACACAAGCTTATGTGGACCTCTAGTTCAATCATACTTGCTATAAATAGTGGTCGACCTGAAATGCATTATCTTCTGAAGGATAAGCAAAGATTTTTTTAGGTTTTTTTTTCTCTTAAGCTTTGTTTTTCACAGTGGTGGGTTTGAGTGCTAGGACTCTTGCTCTGCTTGGTATCTATATACATTCCAGCTATTTCAGTTTCATCTTAGAGCTGACAATGAGTCATTTGTCTCTATAAAAAATGTTTAAGGTATATTTTTTTCATTCTGCTATGTCAGTCAATAATAGGTCTGACTAAGGGTCTTATTAGGATGAGAGACTGCTTTAGAGCAGTGGTTCTCAACCTGTGGGTCGGGACCCCATTTGGGGTCGAACCACCAAACAACGCAGTCCGCCATTTTTTTCCCCTTTTCCTTAGTTGTGCTACTCCCTTTTATTCTATTGGCTTTTGAAAGCCAATAGAATAGACTCTCTTGAATAGAATCTAATTCTATTGGCTTTCAAAAGCCAATAGGAATTGTCCAGGCTGTCTCTGCCCTGCTGAGCCGCCAAAAGTCCCATTCTGCAAGCGGTGCTACACCAGTTGAGTAGTCCTCGACTTACGACCAGTTGGGGGTCACGGCATTAAAAAGGTTGAGAACCACTGCTTTAGAGGTACCGGTAGGTAGTGAAGACAATTCCCAGATTGTGGGGTCCTTGGTGCTCTCTGACCTTGGTGGTGGTTTTTTTTGCAGATGTTTTCTTATTGACACTGCTTGTGTTATCTCGTTTAGTTATTTAAAAAACTCTTTTTATGAGCTTGGCATACAGAGCTCCAAGGACTTAATACCATGTTTCCCCGAAAAAACCTGGGGGATGTCTTATCCGCTTATCTTAGGACTGTCGCAGCCAGGCCTCCCAAGCTCCAACACCTGTTGTGCCACTGCCAGAGTTCTTCTGACACCTGTTGTGCTGCTGCCTGAGTTCTGCGGCTGCTTGAAGCCTCTTGCAGTTGGATGCCACATGGTGCATCTGCCGATACTGCCACTCGTGCCACTTTGTGCTGGTGCCGCTGTTCATGGCAGGGCACCATGTGGTTTGTCACACCAGTGCCACTGCTGACAGCAGGATGCCAGAAGGCTCATCATGCCATGAGTGGTGGTACCAGCACAAAACACCACACAGCATCATGCCGCAAGTGGCAGCACCAGCATGATGCACCATGTGGCATCCAGCTGCAAGTTGCTTCAAGCACCGCAGAACTCAGAAAGCAGCACAACAGGTGTCAGGATGTGGGAGGCCTGGCTGCAGCAGTCCTAAGGTAAGCCGGTGTGGGGCGCTTGGGGTGACTCCATGCCTTCCCTAGCTTGATTTTTATGTTTGCCCCATAACTCGGGCTTATTTTTGGGGTAGGACTTATATTAGGCACACATGTCAAAATCAAGCTAGGTCTTATTTTCAGGGTAGTTCAATCCTGAAATTCAAATGTTGTTTTCTTTTGATACAAAGAATAATGCAACATTAGCCAATTTCCATAGTGTTGGCAAGAAAATGACATTGACATCACTTAGAATCAAATATTATCTAAGGATTTCTTTTAAAACTCTGGTTTATCACTTTTTGTAGCCTCACTGTTAAAATGATAATGTTTATTTTAAGAGGAACAAACTTCAAATAGCGATTAAAATATAGTTATACAGGCAGTAATTGAAATTAATCTTTAGATCTAAGTTCATAAGAACAAATCTGATGCATTAGGATTTATAATGCAGGGTTTTCCCAACTATCTTCTGCAGAACTCTAGAGTTGTGCAAGACCTTAGCAAGCTTCCAAGAAACTAAAGACACAATACAAATTCATTCCAGTGCAGTTATTTATTTTTGTTTATTTATTTTTGTTTCTTACACACACACACACACACACACACACACACACACACACATATAAATTAGTTTTCTAATTTTACAACTAAACATTTAAAAAGCAATTTGGTGGCTGGGTAGTCAATAATTCAATAAGATACATAAATCTTTAGCACAAATCTCAAGTTATAGCATCAAATATTTCCTCTCTTTTTCCCTTAATATCTACTATCTCATATTGCGCTAATATAGTTCTTATTATAATCAACTAAGTAAAACCATCTTTGTTACATTTATCAATAGTTTTTAGCTTATACATATCTTAATTGTGTTTGCATTCAATCCTTATATAGAATCAATATAATATTGATCAATCAATATTGTTTTTTTCCCAGGCTTTAATTTCTCCTCAGTATTCAAGTTAACATTTGATATATTATAATTTCCAAGTTTTAGGTGACCAGAGTTTCCCTTATTTCAATTTCTACATTTTCCCCTTTGTATAACAAAATCTAAAATTCTAAATACACATCTTGTCTATTTGCATATAATCTTATTCTATTTTCTAAAAATTCTCTATTTTTCACCCTATTAAACCAAAAGTATTAATTTTATTACATATCTTACCTATTCAATTATAATGTTACTTTATTTTCTAAAAATAATATATATTTTCCACCATATTCAACCCACTAATCAATAGTATAAAATCCCCTCTACTAGATCAAAACCCTAGTTTCTTTTAGCCTTACTCTGGCTTTTTTCCTTTGCCAACTAACCTTCCATGTCAGTACTTTTGAATCCTCAAACATTTCTCCCTCTATTATATGTATTATTTGAAATAAGAAAGACTATTTAATTACAGTTTTTTGGAAAGGACTAGCCCAATTATATTCATTTAATCTCCCTATTACTCCAATTTCCCACAATTGCCTGATAAATTTATCTTCTATTCAATCTGTTCTTTCTTTTCGTCAACTTTCTTCTAATTTATATAAAAAGTCTTTTCCATTTTCTTTTCTAATTTTCCCATTGGCTGGATCTGTTGGTCAATTGGGTCTTCTGTCTTAGTATTGTTCCACTTTTCCTGTTGCTGCATTGTTAGTTCTTTGGTTGTAGTCAAGATCTAGGTTTGTATATCTAAACTGGCATCTTGTTCCTTTATGTTGCCTCTTATTTTGTTACACGCTGAAAGAATGGTTTCGTGTATTGATTTCAACATAAAAAGGATTTTTCCTAATCTTCATCCATATTCTCTTGATAATGTATTAAATTGAAAAATTTAAAATCAAACGTTAAAAATAGTTTTTTGTTTTTTATAGCTAGGTATGGAACATGTTGTAGGTAGTCTTTATAGTTTGTCAAGTAAGAATTTATAGTCCAAAGTATTCTATAATCTTGTATAATTATACTTCTCATGTAAAGAAATAGGAAAACAATTTCCCACATACAGCTCTGAAAATGAGTAAAGGTTTATCTTCATAGTTCAAACAGGCCAGATGTGCCACCCTGCAGTTCCTTCTTTACAGCTGAGTTTTTCACAGGTGGTATCTGACAAGGTCAAAGAGTTTTTTCTAAATTCTAGGCTTCAAGCCAAGTCCCTTTTAGTTAATAACAAGTTGTAATATCATAGTTTGCCACAAGATGTTACCGATGCCATTTAAAACTTTTTAAGTCACACATTTTTATAATAGTTTTTCAAAGTTTATTTCTTTTCTTTTTAGATAAAAATCAGGATATCCAGTAGAAACAGGCAGGGCTTTTTTTCTCATAGAAGGCCCAGAATGGAGTTCCGGCACCTTTTTTGGATGGAACCTTATAGGGTAGGCAAGGCAGGTTGTATGATTTGTGTGAGTTCCAGCCCTTTTTTTTTTTTTAGAAAAAAGCACTGGAAACAGGAATAAGAAAACTTTTAGGAAAACTTTTTAGTCCATTGGTTCTCAACCTTTTTAATGCCATGACCCCAACCGGCTGTAAGTTGAGGACTACCCAATCGGTCGTAAGTCAAGGACTACCCAACTGGTCGTAAGTCGAGGACTTTCCCTGCCCGGGAGTGCCGCGCATGCGTGGTGCCACCCCCTGCACCGGCTGAGGTGTAGCTGGCAAGCGGCAGAGATGACGCAGGCCAACCACTGGCTGGGCCACCAGCTGGCCCAGCCCAAGGGAGGTAAGGCACCCACCGGGCCCCACGTGCACCAGCAACCCTCCCTGCGCCCGCTGGCCTCCCACCTCCCACCCCTGGCCCTCTTTTACTTACATTTTTAGTAGTTGCTCAGCAGGGAGGGGTGGAAACTTCCAGACAGCTCACCTTCGCTGCAGACAACTTGCAGCACCATTTGCAGAATGGGACTTTTGGCAGGCTCAGCAGGGCAGAGACAGCCTGGACAATTCCTATTGGCTTTTGAAAGCCAATAGAATTAGACTCTATTCAAGAGAGTCTATTCTATGGCATTCAAAAGCCAATAGAATTTTTGAATAATTTATATTTAAAGTTTAAGATATTATTTAGAAGTGTAGAATAGTTTTGTTTTTGTTTTTTTGTTTTTATTATTATTATTATTATTATTTTCTTTTTCTCTTTCTGTTTTTTTATATATAATGGAGTTAAAGTATTTAATAATTTGTTTACTGAATGTGATTATACTTGCTTGAGGTTTATTTGGGTTTAAAAGTTTTTTCTTATAAGTTATAGTTAACCCTGTATTCAGCTCTGGGAAGAATGGGGGAGGGTTTTGGGGTGGGTTGGGAGGGATCGGGGAAGGGGTTTTTATTGTAAAATTGTAAAAATTTATAATAATAATAATAATAAAACCAATAGAATAAAAGGGAGTAGCACAGCTAAGGAAAAGGGGAAAAAAATGGCGGACTGCGTTGTTTGCCGACCCCATGAAATGATCGTTCTACCCCAAATGAGGTCCCAACCCACAGGTTGAGAATCACTGTTTTAG